GCAAAAGAATCCCTTTATATATTGAAGTCAATTCAACGATAAAAAACTTTTACCCAAACCGATTAAAAAGAGAGAATGAACTGGAAAATGTACTGATTGGGAAACCACCAATACTACCAGTCCACATCAATGACACCTTAAATTCATTCCAGCAATAAAAAAAGAGACAAACCCAATTGTTACTTTCTCCCCCTATATATAGTATATGGAGAAAGTATTGTTTTTGTAAAAATGTCCGAGTTTTAGTTTTGAGTAGATATATTCGTTTTACCCAAAAAAAGTGGGTTTCAAAGTGATATCTGCGTGTGTGTGTGTGCTTTTGTGCTGCATAAGATGTGGGGACATGAGAGTGAATGTGGCCAGACTCACCCCGTGCGGCCGAGGTTTTGTTTGGGTTCGGAACAGGGATGTCACTTATTTCAGTCCACCTTACTCCCAACGAGGCCGTCTGTGACTTTCGTGAGAAGATAGACCGCCTGGAAGAGAGCCACCGGACATGTTGTCGTGGGTGGGGACTACTTTAATGCTAGGGCTGTCGAGTGGGGAATGACCCTCACCAACTCCCGTGGCAAGTATATTCTGGACTTTGCTGCCAGAGCCGGACTCGTTGTCGTCAACGAGGGCAACACACCAACTTTCCGCCGCCCTTTGATGCGGGGGACGATCCCAGACATTACCCTGGCATCTGAGTCCCTTTTGCCAAGGATCAGAGCCTGGAGAGTCCTGGAGGATTACACGGCCAGTGACCACCAGAACATAGTTTTTGACGTTCTGGATGGTCATCAGAGACAAGTAGCCGCATTTCGTCAAGTAGGTACCCGTTCGATGGAACATTAAAAAACTGGACATTGCAAAATTCAACGGAGCCATCCTACGAAGAACGCCGGTGGTTCATCCTGCAACTGGCGTGCATCAATCGGAGTAAACACTGGGAGACATTAAGGGACGATGTCGATTCCAACCCGTGGGGCCTGGATTACAAAATTGTAACCAAGAAACTTGGCACCCATGACTCCCACTATGGGTAATTATTCCGTATAGGTGCCTCCAAACGAATTTGCATTAACTTTTGAACCGTAATTTTTACAGGATTATTAAACGATATCAAAATTAAAAATTCGCTTAGAGGCACCTATACGGAATAAATACCTTACCTATTAAATATCGTAGTTACTCTCATCGCTTACCCATAATAAAGGTTGTTGACAAGCTAAATTGGAGAAAGAATATATCAAATTGCTGATACAGTTTATTTATCAACAGATGGCAAATGAAATATTAGGGACAACACACAAGAAATCATGCAAAATATTAACTGATGGATCCAAAACCACTAATGGAACCGGAGCAGCATACATCATCCCCAAAATAGAAAAAGATACGATCTACCCAAGCAGTGGCGGGTTGTTTGACGTGTGTCTGCGTGGGGCCATGGCCATTTAGGCCATAGATTAAACCAAACATACTGGTGGTGGCTTCTTGACGCGCTCCAATGTAATGTAGGTATTTTAGGTAAACTGATCAAAATGTTAGGTTGGTAATGGTTTCTAGTCAGAAAAATCATCAGCTGATCAGTCAGTCGGTTTGCGGTTCGGCGCAAGCATAGATTAAACGCTGGATTAACTCCCATGACCAAAGAAAATAGAACCATAGACTAACCAACACAAGTAGACTTCTCATCCCATTGTAAATTTTGAAGCACGTTTTTCGTGTCTAGTTCATGTACGTGACACAAAGGCGCTAGTGTCGATGAAACTTTGTTTCCATTATTATAGGGTTAATTTCTTGATTTGTGCTTTACTGTTTGGTTATATAACTAGGGGACAAGTTATTGTTTATGATTAGATCGTATTATTTGGTTAAACGAGGTTTTAAATGGCTGTAATAACGGGAAACGAATTGTAAACAAAACACGACCTCTACATAAACCGTACATGAACTAACAATAAAATTGTCTTCAGCTGTTCCATAAGGATGAGAAATCTACTAAGGGAGTATGTTTTATCTATGATAGAACCTATAGGTTCTATTTTCTTTGCCCATGACCCATAGTTTAATCTATGGTGCAAGTGACTAAGGGCCGTCACACATCCGTTTCAATCGCGGATTACTCCTCTCCAATGCGCATGCGCAAACAAACTGTTCCATGGGACTATGGGAGCTGTAACAAGTGACACGCGTTCGATGACGATGGAAGGAACGGATACTGCAACCGGTTAACCTCACTTTGTTCTCCCAGTCAAACAAAGCCAACGCCAACTCACTCAACTAGGGTTCACTCATGGTGTAAGGAAAAAACAGGGTTCACCTATATAGATCCTATATACTAGATACCATAATGTGGAATTTAGGTTATTATTTTCCTTAGTTGTAAAATTTCTATACATTTTTATTTCTACTTTTAACCTAACCAACCCATATTAGTACATTGATGATGACACAGTTAAGGTAATATTGAAAATCCAATCCAATCCAATTCCACTCGCGGCCATTTGGATACATAAGAAGATAACTTAGATGCAGTAAAATGGTAAACATATACGTATATATGTATTCTGAAATTAACATTGACAGCTAGACTGAAACCGTCCGTTAGATCAGGCCAACTTCATCTCTGTCCTCTGTGTTACAAATTTACAAAATAAAGGAACCTAACTTAACTTCTCACATTCCTTTTATTATTCCAAACGCTTTATTCCATTACAGTCAATGTCACTACATTTGTTAAACAAGAGTTTTTAACTTTATGCAGGCCTGACCCGAACATGAAGTGTCGAGCGATCAAGTACTTAGTTTCAGCACAAACTATAAAATAAGTATCAATAATTTGTAAATATTTAACTGGCATAACTAACATAATATTAGTGTAGATATTTTGAGATAGGTCTAGGCTAGCTTGGTATACGCCTAATAATCTATTAATATTCAAGTTTAATTTACAAATTATGTTTCTAGCTTTAAAGTATGTTACTTTCAAGTTTTTATTGATACCTAGATCCATAATTTTTTATTGTGATATCACAGATATAGTACTTTAATGGTGATATAGCTGACTCAGAACATGGTGTGGTGATCTAAAATGCAGTAAGATTCTTTCAAACCAAAAGGCAGCAATTTAGGATAGTAAGTCAATATTAAAATTACCGTGAAGTGAGGGGGTGGACTTGCACATGAGATCCTAAAATAATAAACCAACATATAAGCAAGAACCAGAAAGTATACTAAAGTAAAAACAAAGCGCAGACTAGTTGGTAAAAGTAAAGGAACAACCGTGCTATATTCAATTCATTGTACTGTGTGAGTGAGACTGTACACGTTGTAGCAGATAAATCTGATATCTGATATATGTCACAGTTCCACGGAACGGTTTACTCACGCATGCGCACTAATGCGCAGTATGAGAGGAGTAATCCGCGATTGAAACGGATGTGCCGTCACAGTGTTTAAGCGAGTGAGCGAATGCGAGTGGTTAGGAGTTTAGAGAGATGGACTTGGCTGAAGCTGGAGTAGATCGTAATTCTATGCTCTGTGATCTTAAAACAGTAGAGGACGAAACGAAAGGAACAAGAACCAGCCAAACCAGTGTTTCCATTTGAGGGATAAAAATCCCTTTCTAGGGATATTTAGGGCCTTCGAGGGATTGAAAAGGGATTGAGGGATAACTAGGGATAATCAGCGAAATTGAAGGATTTTTGAGATTTTCTAGGGATTTCAGTTTCAGGCCTTTGACATTATAAAATTGAAATATTGATAAAATAATACATTATGGCTGTATTTCAACAACGTTAAGGACCTATTTTGGCTCATTTTGCAAGGTATTGATAACACATTGATAAAAATACTTTTCCCTAGGTTTTGGTAACAAATCGATTATTGTAGCATAGATAAAACAAACGGTTAGTCTATGGTTGTAGGTAGTGTTTCAAGTTTCAAAGTCGGAACACTCAAGGGGAAGAGTAACAGCCAACACTGCACGAAACAAGCAAAGTTGGAGTTGGTCGGTGGAATGGAATGGCGGATCTAGATTACTGTATTTATTTGTTTCTTAGTCCTGTGTCAATGTCGAATGTTTGTTTTCGTTTTCATTTTGTTTGCCGGTGATTTCTGTGATGTCTGTGATGTTCTTTGGTTAGTAAGTAACTTGGTGTAACCTTTTCACCAAGGCATGGTGGCCATGTTTGAAAAATACCGTACTATTAAGTTTGAAATTTGGACACTTGAGTAATATTTTTGAAACAATTGTAGGCCTAAATACTTATAAATAAAAATTATTAGTTTATAAAATTTAAAAAATAACTATTTGTTTAATTTTTTAGTTAATTAATCTTGTTTTGTACCACATAGACAGTTTTTAATCACGGCTACCTTTAATTCCAGACCGGAGGCCGTGGCCTTCGAAGTGGCAACGTTGCAAGTATAGTGTTGTAAAAGGTGTTTGTTTGGAGAACGCTAAGCTAATGATATTTATTTATGTATTTTTTTAAGAATACGAAAGCTTGGTTACTGAGCTATGAAAATGTCGACTCCACATTGAATGTACAGAAATAGATTTTCAATTTATATTGTTTTGGTTTTCGATTCTATATTATGTTTTATTTCCATGTTAACTTATGGGACGTCTGGCGCTAAACAATACTACGGTACTTGCAACGTTGCCAATTCTACCAGGCCGCGGCCTGCCTGGAGTTAAAGATGGCCGTGGTTTTAATGGTACAAAAATGTTTTTATATAGTATTAGGCCTACTTTATAAATAATATGGGATATTGAAGAATAATATCACCAGTTACCATATTTTTAGGTGGCTATACATGATATCCATTGGTATTGCTGCAAAAATAATAAGTTATCTAGATTTGATATAGAGGGATAATTGGAGGGATTATTAGAACACGGACTAGGGATAACTAGGGATTTTTTGACGTTGGCCCAGGGATATTTTTTTCTTGCGGATGGAAACACTGAGCCAAACGTTATTTCACATTCACGCACGTGTGTAGTAGTCTGCTCCTTGCTCCTGCTGTGCTGACTGCTGATGTTTTTTCTGTAATCTGTTTGGTCGGCTGCTGGGCTGAATGTCATGTTGATGTTGTATTTATAAGGAATGACTTAAAGTTGGTGATTTAAATAGTCTTTATTTGAACATTTAACTGTAATAATTAAGTGTTTGTGGTGGTTTCATTTGCTTGTAATTTTTAGTTACATGTGACCTTCGTTGCTTTGTTATTACTCACCATTTCCTATTTTTACCAGGCGGGTATCTAGGCCTAGCCTATATTATATTACACTCTATTTTGCTAACATGAATCCCTCAACTTTACTCATATACAGGTTAGAAGCATTAGAAATATTGTAGCCTACTGTTTACAGTTAGGTACCTACAGTTAATCCTACTCGGTAATCTCCAATCTATCTGCTTATGTGAACTAGGCCTAATCAAGTTTAATTTTAAACTTTAGGTATGACAATTGAATTTAGGTACAGTTCCGGGGTACAGTTTCTTAACTGAGCTACGCTATCATCGAATGAAAATATCGATTTGGTTGCACTTTACTTGACGTCCTACACTCATTCGAATGAAAATATTGATCGATATATCGATTAATCGATAGCTTCATTCGATATATCGTTTGGTTAGTTAGGTAAGGTTAACCTAATCTAACTAACCAAACGATATATCGAATGAAAATATCGAATCGAAAAAACAATCGAATGATTGTAGGACGTCAAGTAAAGTGCAGCCATCGATTTGATTAGTAAAACTTAACCCATTGGGAAGGAATTAACTTAATGCGCTGAATGCAGCACCCTCTGTTGGCAATTAATTTTACCAAATTTGTAGACTTTTACTCTAAGTAGCCTAATTGCTATGGAAAGAAAACCTTAGGTAAACTTAATAAATTAATAATTCTTTCACCATTTTGTTCACAGTAAAATTGTCTTAACTTACAGAAAAGTGGTAGACCTAACTTAATTGGATCAAAAGTGTAAAACTATAAAAAAAATTAGGCTATAAGTTAGGCTAACAATTATAAAAATAAAAACAATTAAAAACAATTTTTTGTAAGTATAGCCTACGGTACTTGATTTACAAATTCCAAGCCTATTTAAATAGACTTGACCTGGTCTCCATCGGCACTCCCGTTTTGCTAATACTATAATCACATGTTATTACAAACCGCAATAAGAAGTCAACCTTGATAACAAGTCTTATTTAATATTTCCCATGAGAGTGTTGTTATCGAGGTTCTACTGTATCTGGTTTCCATGGCAACACAAAATTGTTTGTTTTTAAATAAAACAAATGAGTTACATAATAAGCAAATCAAGAAGCAAGATATTTATAAATATTAAGTTATAAAACTAAGGAAAACAAAAAGGGGGAAAATAATAATAATTAAATAACTAAGTTAGTGGTGCTGCGTAGCGGTGACAAGAGCGGCACTTGTAAGTAGGCGCCAATGGGTTAAGCATATCAATTATGTAATAATTTTAACTTAAAACTATTATCATCTAACCAAACTTGCTGATAATTTAAAATAACTTATCTAATGAAGGATTACTAATCGAATCAAAAGTAGGCTAGCGTAGCACAGTTAAGAAACTGTACCCCAGTTCCACAGAGAACTTACAATATAGCCTATAGTACAGTATTATCTTGATCAATCAAAGTAGTCCCTATTTCATTCCATGTGTGTTGAATGTTTATTTTCTCGGTTATTGTTAAGTTAAGGGTATGCTTACCGGTAATTCAAGAACAGGGCCGCCTTCCACTTTAATTGCTGCTGCGTGTAGGTTAGGTTACAATAATGACATACAAGATAGGCCTACCATTTAGGCTACAAAATATAACTTAGGTCAGGTCTAACCTTTTTATGAGCTCATGAAAAAGAGGACCCTTACAAACTGTCCGTTTAACTTATATTTTTAAAAAAGTAGCCTACACAACTTATCAAATTTGGTTTTTACAAATGTTGACTTACCTTTTTTGTCTATTTAAAAAAAACCTTTTTTATCTACTTTCATAGTTAGCCTATCATAAACAAAACTATGCTGAAAATAACTAACTTATCCAACAGCCACAGTACGGTGTAAAAGATTCTTCTTAAAAGACCCTAATAATGCTTACTAAGTGCTAATGTTCATATTTATGCTACAATCGATTATAAGGTAAGTTTAGGCCTAATAAGTTATATCATGTGAAAACGATCTGATACCATGTTTTTATTTATTTATTTCACTTGGTTACCTTACACTATTTTTACAATAATATGTATAGACCTATACAATATCAAACTAATATTTTATCCCATAAGTTAATATATCGTAGGTTCTCTGCAGAACAGTGCCCTAGCATTTTTCTTCACTCTCCCTATGGTACCATTATGGTCAAAGCTCTGTTCTTGTTAAGTTACATTCTAGTAGGCCTATGTATGCTATCTGTTCCTGAATAGAATAAATCATTATCTACCAACATAGGTCCTATCCCTCTAAAAAAAGGGAGCAAAAACCCCTTGCCTCCTTAAGTTAATTGTCGCCACAAACTCAGTTCATTAAACACACACCAATAGGCTAAGTAATATGCTCTAACTTATGTTTTAGTGTATAGCCTTGTACTTTTGATACATCTACGATCAGTAACTTAATTTAGTTATTTTAAGTTGATTGTAATGAGTTAGGCCAATGCAAGTAGGTTAACTGTTTGTCTCAATTAAGTATTTTCATTCATACGTTCAATGCTTGGTAATCGCATCTACAAAAGCCAGTTTATTAGAAAGGACGGAAAACACTGATGTTTCCTGAACAGTGTGAACCATCCTGAAAAATCTTCAGAAAACATCAGTTAACTAAGGCCCCTAACTTATTAGTTGTAGAAACAATCTTCAATTTGTCCTTATCAGTCCAATTGTTTCTTTAAAAATGCTGGATTACGATGTAGCCTAACCAAATTTATTGTCAATATTTTTTTAAAGATAATTTAAACTGTTGATGTTTTATGTTTCAGCATGGGATAAATACAGAACCAGTGAATGAACAATGTTTTACATTGTAAAGTCATGGCAGAGACTCAATAATTGCAGTCATTCCCCCCTACATAATATCAAATTGTTTATTCATCCCATTATACGAGTAAGTCATGCCTTTTACTACATAAATTAAGCTTGTATTTTCAAACTAGACTGATTTTTTCATGTTTTGAGGTATGCCACAACATCCAACCTTGGTTTTTGTTGCTTTAAGTTATAACCCCGTTTTAGCGAATTTCCCTATAGCCTAGGGAAGTACAGTAGCTAATTAATACTTTTTTTTTATTACTGGAGGTGACACGGTAAGACCTAGGCCCGAGACCGATTTACTTTTTCATTTTGATGTCCCTAGAGGCCAAAAACACTTTTCGTACAAAATTTTATATATTTATATGTATATCTATATATAAAAATAGATATAATCATTTTTAATATTTTCATAATTAATATCTACTAGCTGTACCCGCGGGCTTTGCCCCGTTTAACTTCATACGTGAGCTCGTTCGCATGGCTCAATCACATCCTGGTTGAAGTTCGTTCGCTACGCTCACTCACCTTTAGGTTGGAGCTCGTTCGCTGCGCTCACACGTCCTGGTTGAAGTTCGTTCGCTACGCTCACTCGCTTTTACGGTTGCAGCTCGTTCGCTACGCTCACTTGCCTTCAGGTTAGCTTGTTCGCTACGCTACCTCGCCTCCGGGTTGAAGTTCGTTCGCTACGCTCACTCACCTTTTGGTTTCAAATAAGCTGTTGTTAAATATTTAAAAAAATAATAGTGCTGCACTCTGTTGGTAATCCTTGTAACTTTAATGCTATTGAACATCATATAACAGAACCGACTTGTTTAATTGAAACAGCTGTTATGATTCATTAATTCCATTTAAATATGAGTACTCATTAGGTTAACATGGGAAACTCCAGAGCCACTGGGGCGGAGCCCGAGAGTCCGATCAGAATAAAAACCACTTAGTTTTCCTATTTAATGCCTAAAGAATCAGTGTGCCAAATTTCAGCCTCCTAGGTAAGTGGGAAGTGGGAGAATTAGTGATGAGTGAGTGAGTGAGTCAGTCAGTCAGTCAGTGAGGGCTTTGCCTTTTATATATATATAGATATAGGCTACCATATATATACTGTATATATTTATATACCTATATTGTTATTTATATATATATGTCTGTGAACGCGATAACTTGAGTAATTTTTGTCTGATTTTGATGAAATGTGGCTCAAAGGTGTAAGACGGGATAAACTTGAATGAGTTAGCGAACCAGCATGATCGGACAATGGTAACAGGGTTTATTGGAGGGTTTTATGGGGAAAAAATGTATTTTTCCCATTTTTGATCATAAAAGCGCAAAATTTCATGATTTATTTCCAAACCATTTTGTAGAGCTTAAACAATAAATCATTTCTTATATTGAAGAGTTGTTCTATGCCTAACGGTTTCTGAGATTATTCAAAAAATCGTAAATTTATAAATCCCATGTTATTCTTATGGAGATTAAATAAAGGAACTGTTGTAGTTTGCTCTTTTAAGGATATATTTTGATCAAACTTATTTATTTATTTATTTTATACTAAGCTATTAATATTTTACAAAAAAACACACTCTTGTAGCAGCAAACCTGGATGTTATTTAAATAGATTAACTGAAAATCAATTCAGGCAAATGGAAATTCGCTTAGACGGCAGGTTTGCTGTAGCGGGGGTATTGGTTGGTAAAATTTCTGGAAACTGAACCTTTGACAAATTATAGGTAGCTTAACATTTATTTTCAGCTCATTTAAAAGTGTACTTAATCCAGAGAGATGGGTATGGAAAATTAACACCAATAGGTTAACTCGCATCACTACGGCTAATCCACCGGTTCGACAAGAACTTCTCAACTCCGTCTACCTATCTAGATTATCGTGTACATGTAAAACAAGGTTTACATTATCTTGCTTCTTTTGAAATGCAGGGATATAACGCACTATTGTCTGAAAGACTTGCAAGGGGCACGATTATCTCAATGCAATATCTGACGCAAACGGTGGTAGCATATACCGAATGTCATCATTTGTGACAAGTAAGAGCAAGAAATGAATCCTTATTCTTAAGATTCCAATGATGAGAAATTATATGGTGAACTGGAAAACTCCCAATCGTGTTCTCAAAATAGGCGAAATACATAGTAAGACTATGTACATCTTTCCCTATATCATCTTTGGTTTTTAAGCCAAAAAATAACATTTCGTTACATTAAATAAAATCTTTCTTGTTGTATATCTTATTATATGTTAGAATCGCTTAATATCATTTTGGAGTGTCCAGGGATGAGATCGTATAAATGGTAGGTCTGGAAGAATCCTAGAATTTTTCTAACCTCAGATAACAATATTAGATTTAAAATTTTACCGTACATAGAAGGTTTTACTCTCTTCACCTTATTGTATTAACGTCTGGATGATTACCATAGAATAAACTACTATCTAATAATTCATAATCCATTTAAAGGACAGAATCTACGTTGTTACCAAATTTTGTTAAATTACTCAACTTTTACAATCAATTGCCGGTATTGAAGAATTTTAAATAAACATTCTACGCAGAATTTTGTGTTCTTCAAACTAACTACAGGTGTATTATTCTTATAGCATGCGTCGTTTAGGAGTAAGCAGGAAATTGATCAAATAATCAACTTTTTGGCCATGTTGGTGAAAATGTCCCAAACACTTTGAAAAGCTACTAAACTTTGAGTGGCTAAACGGCTCGGCCAATTTGACACACATTTGGCACTTGTTGTTCCTTAGTTAGTTTGATTAGTGTGTCTTCAAGTGTATATTTAATTTCAGCAGTCTACAAAGACAGCCACTGTTCCAAAGCTGTCCCATGACAAGACGACAGTGGTACATGTGGCAGCAGTGGTTCCTCAGCAGACGACACAACCTCCACGTGCAGTTCCCAACACCACCACCACTACAACATCGCCAGAGCCAGATACATGTGACAAGTGGATACCAGTCGTCCTTGATTGGCAAAGTCTACCCAAACATTACTTGAAGCTTTCCAAGTCTCGGCTTACTTGTGAGTTAATTTAGAACCTTGATAAATCAATTTTTCATAACATTAATAAAGAACTAAGTAACTTTACTTTACCCCAAGAGAATTTATAAATTTAATGTAATATAGGCAAAAATTAATTTATATAAAAAAAAACTGCAGAGTTTTCAGAGATGTTTCTTTGATATATTTATTCAGCATAGTGAAACATAATATATACATATGTATACAAATAAGCAGTTGAACTCTTAGAGAGCCTTTGAATGTTATTAAACTAACAAAAAGGGTTGTGCATGTTTACTAGCGCTACTCAGCAACAAAAACCATTGAATCTATTATTCTAATTCCGTAAGGAATTTCTTGTGCACAGCAAAACTCTTTGATTTATTAACCGATTTTGATGATTGATGTGTTAAATTAAAGGGAATTATCTGCAGAAGTAATGCAATAATTTTTGTCACGCTCAGTTCAATGTGCTTCACCCCACTGGACTTTAAAGTTTCCATATATTTTTAAATATAACTGAAAATTTAGTTAAGTTTATCAAACATATGATTCATTTCCTTTTAAAAACATGAAACTGTATTCCGTGGGATTTTTTGTGAAGGGAAGTTGTGACTAAGTGGAATCTCTTTATTATATGTCACATATTGGTGTAGTACCGGGTGTTTACCTTCAAATCGCGCTGTTTGGTTTTTATGACGTTGTGAATCCAAGATGGCCGCCATGTGTGACATCTATTAATTAAATTAATAATAACTCTTTCCAGAGTAAAATAATCGGATTTTAATTTACACCATTGAATTCAGCTCGAAAAAGCAAACAATTTGGTATCTTGAATCATTGCTCTATGTCCATTGGTTACCGAGATATTGCACGCGGTAAACACAGAACATTGTCCCCATGTTATCCTTATGGGGAAAAAATAAAATTGTATATCTCGCTTATTTCTTAACATATCTGAATAAAAAATGGTATGTGGATTCATATAGTAGAGATTACCTTGAATGTGCCCTAAAATCCCCCATATTGACATTTCCGTGGCAGCAAGCCTGCATACTCACTTCCCATGTTATTCATATGGTCAATATTTTAGCATGCTTGTTTATGAACATACGTTGAGAAATGATGATGTGTGGTTCCATTTCAATTATTTATTGAAGCATTTGAAATTCGCTGAGTATACAGGTCTGCTGCTACGGGGGTATTTTAGCTATAAACAAATCTCACAAATTACAGGTAGAAAATAAAAAATACTATAATTGTGGCTATATGTCATTTTGTGGGATTTTGAATTAAGCAATTGTATGATTGGTGGCGATAGATAGGTAATGACATATAGAATCGTGTTCTACCAGGTGTTTTGTCTGAAAGTGTGGCCTAGCTGGTGTTTTGGCCGCCGTCTTGGATCCACCATATTGGATATTAATACATTTTTTAAATGTAATGATAGTGTTGTGACACATCATTATAAACTAGATGTTTACACTGATTCCAATTCTGAAAACCATTTTTAAATATCGTTTTTTGTTTGGAAGATATATTGAAATGAAAACTCCCCCCATACATTACTTACAGACGTTTCGTACTTTGAACATTTTTTAAGATTATTTTTCTCATATCTCCAGTTCTTATTATCGCTTGCAGTTTGTTCTAGTCTAAAAATATTCAGTGATGTATGGGCTTTCATTTAAGTTATTGATCATTAAAATCGAAAATCGGACGAGTTAGATTCGAGCTATGAACCCCAACATAAATTTAACTTTTTACAAATCAGTTTTTATTAAAAGACTACTATCTCGGGTTGTTAATATGTCAATATGTTCATTCTGGTCTCAAATTACTAAGTAAATGTTTGGTTTTAAATTGTATTAATAACTAAATGAAATCTGACTATTTGAAAATAAGTCATGGGCCTTTATTTAACATTAATAATTATTTTTATTTTGAAATTTGTCTTTGGTTAAAGCAGTTAAAGACATACAGGGCTGATCATCAGGGTTACAACATTTGTTTGGTGTAAGTACAAAGTAAATGATGTGTGATGAAGCAAATAAGACTAAGAGGTTCCACAATGATGATATATCACCCTTCTTATTAAAAAAGGTTGCAGCTTACATAACAAAGCCATTATGCCATTTAGTTAATGTTTCATTTTTGAGTGGTTCATTTCCCGAAGCACTTAAGGTGTCTGTAATAAGACCAATATTCAAAAAGGGGGACCCTAAACTTTGCAGTAGTTACAGGCCAATAACCGTTGTATCTGCCTTTTCTAAGGTATTTGAAAAGATCATGCTAAACAGGATGTGGAATTTTCTAGAAAAATATAAAATAATTTTCTAAAACCTACATGGATTCTTAAAAGGTAAATCCACCACATCAGCAATGTATAACTTTATAACTGAGGTGATACGAGAACTAGACAAAGGTAATTATTCGGCTGGTGTCTTCTTCGATTTAAGTAAAGCCTTTGATATGGTTGACTATGGTTTGCTGCTCAATAGAATGAATGAAGTGGGGTTGAGAGGACTGGCTCTGGACTGGGTTGAACCGTATCTTTGCGGCAGGAGCCAATTTGTTGAAATGAAAATTTTGTTGAAAGGGCAATAGATGAGGCTGGTTGCATGAGAACCTATCCCTCTGCTGAGAAATCCATTGTGAGAGGTGTACCACAGGGCTCCGTTCTGGGGCCTGTCCTTTTTCTCCTTTTTATCAACAACATCCCCTCCTGCACCACATCCTCAAAATTATCACTATTTGCTGACGATACCTCCCTTTCCTTATCTAGCTCCACTTTGTACAATCTGGAACAATTATCTTTTTCTGAAACAAATAATTTAATTCAATGGTTTGACAACAACTTACTAAAAATTAACACTGGAAAAACTCAGCTTATAAATTTCCATTTAAATAAGAGCCGAGATGTTGGGCTTAGTCTCCTCCTGGACAAGACTGAGGTCCACCCAACTGCAAATGTAAATTTTTTAGGGTTGATCTTGGACGAGAGACTTAGTTTTTGCAGCCATGTCAAACACATTTCAAGTAAACTCAGTTCTGGAATTTTTGTTTTACACAATCTCAGAAACAATGAAAATCTAGATGTGCTGCTGACGGCTTATTATGGTCTCATTTATCCTCATCTAGCATATGCTGTTGCAATTTGGGGATATGAGAGCAAACAAACCAAATTTATTTTCAAAATCCAAAAGATGGCTGTGAGAACTATTTCCTCTTTGCGTAAGCGTCAATCCTGCAGAGAGTACTTTTTTAATTAAAAAAACTGGACTTTTCCCTCCATCTACATTCTAGAAACTTTGACCTTTTTGAAACAAAACTTTCCTGAATTTGACTTCTCTACTAAAAATCAATACACTTTGTGCAATTCATTTAACTTGCCAATTCCTAAACACAAAACTTCTTTTTTCAAAAAACACACATTGTACATTGGCATAAAGCTTTTCAACTCACTTCCATTATCCCTTAAGTTGGAACCAAGCCTTTCAAAATTCATAAAACAATTAAAACATAAATTGCTAAGTATAACCTGTTATAGCGTCCAAGAATTCCTGAAATGTTTTGAAAGCTCTAATCTATATAATTAATACGCTACATGAAACTTTGTTGGTTGAACTCCTCCGCCATTTCTTAACCGATTTGATCCATTGACGTCTCATTGAAAAGAGCGTGTTGCGTAGATTTGCAAACTGGCCTTCCATTTTTGAAAACATTGGCTTTGGAAGTTCCCATGTTATCCTTATGAAGAACATAATTGTTTATATTTTGATCAGCTGTATAATTTAATTCCTGTTATTTATTTTTAAATTCAATGAAACGCATTGAGTACTTATTTACTATTTGAGTTTGTATAAACATAACCCCCAAGACGGATTGTGTTAGTATATGGTTGTATCTTAAATTTGTGTATTTATTGTTGTTTTGTGTCACTATGACGGATTGTGTTAGCATGATTGTAACTTAAATTTGTGCATTTATCGTTGTTTTGTGTAGCTATAATTTGTTTAGTTGTTGTTTTTTTTTCCTTTTAAATGCGGAGGACAAGGCGACAACGAAACATAGACAGGAGGCGTAATCGTGATAAAAACCGCAGCTACAGAATAGTGGCGAGTAATATGCTTAACTCATCACAGTCAGCACCTGACCCTGGACAATCTCAACTATTAGGTTACAAATGCGCCCTAATACTACCCCAAAACGACTTTTCGTTCTCAATTGGCCCTCTATCAATGACCTGTGTTGCCTGTACAGCGAGGCATTTTGAGAAGGAGAAAACTGGCCGGAATGCTTTAGGTTTGAAGATAAACATGGTCTGAGTTACATACCGGTAATCTTTGAGTTTTAGAGACTAGTTTGGGGTGTACGTCAGGATTGTAGTGCCGGTCTTTTTGAGTTGAAAGGAGGAGTTGCAAGATTAATAAAGGAAAGATTGTGTTTTTTTGAAATTTTGATGTGTCCATGACCGTACGTAGTCATTCGATGAAGTAGACATGGTGTTAATTTTTGTTTATAAGATATTTCAATTGCTAGATTAACCTAGAAGTCCACTTTGTATCCTCGAACATGAGGTGCAGGGCTACCGCCAGAACAGAGCCAAATAACACGTAATTTCACAACCAAAGTTTCACGACCATCGCGGTTTTTTCACGACCAATCCAGCCTTATGGATTATAGTGTGTTTGGTCGTGACAATAACTTTAATATAATTGTAAATTGAACAGTTTAGTTCAATTGAAACACATAGTTTTATTATAACTAACAGGATAATTGAAGGATTGTTTAAAAAGATTTAGATTATTCCAGACAATTCACGACTGTACCGCTTGTCCCTGACCATCACGTTTATGATTTCTATCATAAAAATTTCAAAAATTAAAATATCGTCATATTTCAATGTTTTATACACAAAAGAAGCACACCTCTATACAAACATAACGATTTTTCGGGTCTTAGGTAAGTTTTTTCGGAGTTATACAAACTTAAAAAGATTTTATTGGCTTTTTTTCAAT